CGCCACGGTTCACGTGTGGCTTTGGGATGGCGTTCCTGAAGGTTAACGCGCGTGGAAAATGGGCAGCGTACCCAACACTCAACACACAATCCTGGTTCACACGCATCTCCCAGTGACACTTCCAATCAGGTTGTTTTTCAAGTAGGGGTTCGGCGTCCAAGGTGTTCCTGAATTTTGGTGTGCGTAGAACGCTGGCAACACCCAACACACAATCCGAGTCCCCACCATTGTTTTTCGCAGTGCCGCCTCCAAACAATCCAGGGACTTTGTCTTGGGGGCACAGCCTTTTTCAGACAACATATTTGCTGTATGGCAGACAAGCACCCTACAATGGTATGTTGTTGCTGTTCTTTTGCAGGCGCACTTCAAAAATGGTCTCAGCAAATTTTCCGTCCCATCGCCGAAACCACTTGTTTAGACTATCTTGCAGCAGCGCGCAGCAAAGGTAGCTTGGGCTTTCCTCAAAGAACCTTGAGCCCAAACACTGTGGACAGAATCAGCGGCCACTTTGGAGTCAACACCCATGTTTTTTCCCCCTCATCAGCTCGAACGTTGCCAAACCCAGCCCAAGTGCCCAGTAACCCATGTTTAGAGTGCTCAAGTTCTGAGCACCTTGAACTTGGGGGTCCGGTCTGACGCTTTAAGCTCAATCTGCTAGAGGGGTGCTGCCCACTAGTTGCCGGTATTCATTTACTGGATGACCTGACTGTTTGGCAAGTGTTGGCCTGCGCTTGACGCGTAGCCGCTTCAATTTTTTTTGGCGACTGAAGCCCAACACAATTCAGGAAGGTGCTTGCATCAAACTTTCGGAACCCGCAATTGATCATAAATGGTTGGATCCCCAAAGGCTCCCTCTCACACAAGCATATTTGGCGTGACAAGACAGTTTCGGTCTGCAAGGGGGCACCGTTTTTTTCAATGCAGTCATGACCGTCGTGGTGCTGGCAGGGTCGTTGCGTACCATGGACGCTTCAAAATTAGGCATTCATTTGCGGAAGATGGCACACCGTGTGGTGGCACCACCTGCAGGTGATGCCCCCCGCTCACGCCGTCCTCGCGGACCTTGCTTGATGGCGCAGTGGCTCCCCTAGTCACGCGGGGGTCTTGTACATCGGTGTGCCTGCTCGCGCGAGGGGGAACGGAAAGAAAACACGCAATATCTTTGTCAAATCGTTATGCACTTTGTGGACACAGCCGGCAACAAACCGAAATCAGCGGTCACAAACTTATTCATTTTGCAGGGTGTAGGGGGTTTAATTTCTCATTGCCATCACGTCATGGCAGGGGAAATCATGTCATGCAAGGGGTGAATTGATGTCATGCCAGGGATGACATCCTGTCATGCCAGGGGTGGCATGCTGTCATATTGTGTATGACAACATGTTTGCAACTTAATTGAGGGCGTACCTTGACTTCCAGTTTCATTCTCAGCACTTAATGTATGCGAAGTTGGATATTAAACCATGTATTCTGGAAACTACATCATGTGGTGCTTCAAAGGGTGTGCCTTCAACACTGATTTCCTGCAGGTTTCCAATTTGAATCACCGTGGGATTGCGCTGGGTGTTTGGTGGGAGATGTTTGGGTATCAGTGACCTTGGCTTGAGTTGAGTTTTTGCACGCTATTAAGAATTCTTGGTTGTAGCCCAGCGGGTTATCCCAGAAAGTGGGAAAACTGTGGGAAAATGTTGGGAAGGAAGTGGAAAAATGTTGGGAAGGAAGTGGGAAAAGGTAGGGAAATTAGTGGAAAAGGAGTGGGACAACATGGGACACCAGCCCAACATTGGGAAAACCATGGGAAAGATGTGGTATTGGATAATAATGGATGAAGTGGGTGGACCAAAAGTAGGAAATTTGTTTTGGAAAGCATCCATGAGAGGACACTGCAGAATGTAATGATGACCGGAGGAGTCCCTCACAAACCTTTCCACCAGAGGCAAAAAGAGTTGAACTGCTGCTGGGGAAAATCCAAGGTTTTGCTGGGATAAATGCAGGATCTATTGAGGTTGTTGCTGTTTTTGCTTGTTTTGTGAAGGATTCATGAAGTACCATTTTAAGGGACAGAATTTGTGAAGCGGTGCTGTGTGAAGCGGTATGTGATGTAGTTCTTTGATGTATGGCGCAAGAGGCAGTTAATTGATTTAGATTTTTGGTGCGTCCCTTTTCGAGGGACGAAAGCAAGACGAAACGTGAAAACAAACGCTGAAGAAAAGACAAGGTAGTTTGCAATGTAGCGTTTGGTGTGTACAGTGAATTTGCTGTCCTCGCCAGCGTCAGCCACATCAGAATTGGGTCCTTGGTCCTTGGTGTGTTTTTGGCCCTTTGGCATTTCATTGTTCCATGAAAAGCCATGAAGACTCTTGGTGGTTTTGGCCCTTCCCAAAAATAGATGGGGTGGGGCGGACATCTCCCACAGGCAGAATTTAGTTTTTGGTCCAGTGGTGGCACGCCCAATGCTGCCAACAAGGCACGTTCATTTGCAGTGAATCCGCCCTTGCTAGCATCAGCCACATTAGAACGGGGTCCTTGTTTCTTCGCTTGGCCCTTGTGATATTGTTGAAATTCCATGAGGGGTTTCAAAAGACTCTTGGTCTTGGTGGCTCTTGCCCTTCCCAAAAATAGATCTTGGACCAATGGTGGCACACCCAATGCTGCCAACAAGGCACTTTCATTTGCAGTGAATTTGCGGTCTTTGCCAGCGTCAGCCACACGTCCTTGGTGTGTTTTTGCCCCCTTGGCATTTCATTGTTCCATGAAAGGACTTTTGGTGGTTTTGGCCTTTCCCACACATATAGATTGGGTGGGGTGGACATCTCCCACAGGCAGAATTTAATTTTTGGTCCAGTGGTGGCACACCCAATGCTGCCGACAAGGCACGTTCACACCGTGGTTTTGAGCACGCGATAGCTCAAAGCCAGCGGTGTTTATGTGGATTCCCAGCATAGAAGCACAAACTGTGAGCTTGGCATCCGCTCGTGCACATCTGGAGACTGGCCAGTATAAAAACAGCCTGGAGCTCCCGAACACAAAGTCTGTTTGGTGAAGCTGAACGAGACGTGCTGGCCAAAAAGGAGGGAACAAAAAAAGAAAACAAAGGTAGCAAGAAACTACTTGGTGGGCCATCGCTATTGGGTTACATGCAGGCCATTACTACTAGCCAGTGGAGGCCATCGCTGTTTGGTTGGAGGCCATTACATTAAGAACAAAAAACTTAAAAAAGGGACAATCTGGGTCTTCAAGTGGCCAGGTCAAGAAGTTTAATTCGCGGGTTGCTTGGGGTAGACTACCCTTTGTTCAGTTTGTGCAGAATTCAACTAATTTCTTCAACCAAAAGCAATTCAGAACTCCCACCAAAGGACAATTTATTTATAAAATTCAATCCAAGTATTTGAACTCTGGTTAAATTAAAGTGGCAATTAAATAACAACTTGCCCCTTCTCACTACCAATCATTTAGTTTAGACAATTAAACTGTGTGTTTTTGGTTGCTAGTCTGGTTAATTCAATGGCAGCTCATTCAGTTGGCTGGACCTGAACGGATTCATGTTTGAACTCATTGAGTTCTTGTTATATTATAGTTTTCAATAATTGAGGGACCTCCATGCAATTCTCAGGCATTAAACAGCTGGGGACCCTGGTTCTCACCATTAATGCTACGTTCATTTTTTGCAGCAATGATCATAGTGTCGTCCGGGCAGCTTTGGCCGGCCTCGCCGACCTCGCAGCGTTGGGCAAAACCTTGCGTTCAGACGATAGATGTTGCTCGTATTGGTGGACTGGTCCGGTGTCGCGTGCTGCAGTAACAGCTGTCCGCGGCGTGTCCTTTAGGCGTCGCCCGATCTGGGGTCTTTGCCAGTGTAATTTGGCGCCCTGAGTGTGTGGATGTGGTGTAGTGGGTTTGTTATGATTTGTTTTGCGGCCAATGTTCCTTCTCTCGCAGGATGCGGCACGCGCTTTCCGTATTCTAACGCCATAGGGATTTGAAGCTGAGCCACCGCCTGCAGTGATCGTGTGGTTGTTCGTCACGAAGGGGTTTCATCACGCACCGTCCCCACCAGGCGTGCGTGCGAGCCGGAAGGGCGTTCAGTACACGTTGGTCACAGTACGCTTCTGGTGCTGCAGCTGCTGCTGCAGCTGCTGTGCTGTTTGGGCAGTGCAGCGTGCCATTTCAATCAACACGGTGGAACCAAAATGATGCCACACAGAAACCTAAACCAGCATGATATCATTACATTATATTTGCCACACTGAAGTGGCCACAGCTTGGCTCCACGGTTTGAGCCGGGAACCCCGCTCTGGAACCTTAGCTGGTTACCCACATTTGCATCCGTTCCGCCCGATTCATCGCTGCACCCGCTAAACCCCTCTCCAGCCCCACAGCGGCCCGCTATAGCATCCCAAGAAAGAACATGCCGAAGGCTGCCGGAGGCGTGGCAGAGGGCGCAAGCGGCGCATGCGGCGCAAGCAGCACAAACGGCGCGCACGGTGCAAGCGGCGCAGCCGGCGCAAGGGGCGCAAACGGGGCAGGTGGCGCAAACGGCGCAGGCAATGTGTTAGGTTGACCAAAATTTCGCGGGACCAGGAGCTTTCCACATGCGCCTTGCTACCGTCGTCTCGCCGAAAGTCGTGCTTCCATGGCGCCACTTAGCGCAACGGTGCTTGTCTATTCGTTATATACCTTTTTGGCAGGGCCATTAGCAATGCAGTTCGTTGTTTGTGTGTTGGCCTCTGCCAACTGACTTGATTGGACCAATTATAGAATTGTGCTCGTGGTGGTCAAGCGCATAGAATTTCCCGGAACAACATGAACTCAGAGCTAACTTTATCAACAAGTTGCGATCGGGAACGCAAACAGTCTAAAAAACTAAAATTAGTGATTGGGATGCATTGATTTCATCAAAAAATATTGAGAACACACGTCAAGACGCACAAAAAACCTTGATCTACGTGGGCTACACTACAACAATCCTTTGGCACTTGTGTGGTTTGGTGTATCCTGCCATGGTGTTTCTGAGCTCGCTCCTCAGTGTGGAATGTTCTGTCACACTTGCTGAGTGAAACAAATTGGAACAATTTCTATGCAAACATTGTGTGCAAGACAGCTGGCAAAGTTGGCGCAACTAAGCACACGTTCATCCACATCTTTCCCACAAAAAACAAATTGTTTTGTGCATTGATCCCACGCGAAAAAGAAACAATTTACCGTTTTGTCGCTTGCAGGCTTTAACTCCGCGATCACTGCGCCAGACGATGTGGCAGAGCTGCATGGTGAAGACCAGGACGCTCGATCACTGCAGAAATGGAACGCAGAGTGACAAGGGTACTTGACCGTAATCCACCATGAAAAATCCTTTGGACTTTCATGCAGGAATGTAGGTTCAGGAGAGGAGGTGGTCACCTCGTGCACCTGCCGTCAAGACAACCAGCAGCTTTGTGAGGATGATGGTGGAATGCCTGATGGGCTAGCTTTGAGGTTTACATGGGTGGTTTGGCAGCAGCGGGCTGCATCCAAAACGGTGCCCTACGAACAAGCGACGAAGCAGACATTCGGCTGCACATGTTTTGTTGCACAACCTACAGGGTCCATGTGGCGTGGTGTTGCCGTTGAGGCTTGCAACCATGGCTTCGGTGGAGGAACATTTGTTTCTTGCTTTGTGCCGGGGTGGTGTGCAACCCAAGTGTTTGACGGTGGCAATTGTTACCAACAGCTTGCAGTTCCATGGCAGTGACCATGTGATCCACTTGCACAAGTCACTATTGATTCGGTGTGTTCATGATCAAAAAGGCCATCCTGGTTTTGGACAATGTTACTATGCTTGCGCATGGTGTGCGTGGTGAAGCTGTCATGTTTTTCCAAAACATCGGGCTGAGTGGTGGGTTGTTCATGCTGGGTGTGCGCAGTTTATGCTTTGTGACCATAGTAAGTAGACGATTTTTTAATAATGTGCCAAACATTGCGCATTCAGATGGGCGCAATGCTCCGCAGGATTTTTGGCAGACTTGGGAAGTCTTGCCACAACCCAGCGAGCTGCTGACGAGGTCAGAGGGTTTTGCATTTTGCGGCCTGGGTTGCGTGATCATGGGAGCGCATGTGCAGTCCACTATGAAATTTACATGTCACAAGTCCGTGAATCTTCAAGAAGGGTGCTTCAAGTGCGAGAAGGTGACAGCACCAGATACTGTAGGTTTCATGCGGGAGTGACGTTTCGTGCGCAATGGGACATTTGTCGGGGGCCGTAAACCATTTGGTCTGTTGGAACGAGCTCCGCAAGTGTGGAACGTGGTTTACTATGCATGTTGGACTCCAGGGAATTCCTGGTCTCGCGGTTGAAGAAACATGAAAGAATCTTACCCGCAAACCAGTGGGTGAAGCGTGGTCTTCGGTGTTCCCTCCAGATGCTTCGGATAGCTTGGTTGCTTCCCGGACTGGTGCTTAGCAGCTAAGGGAAGTCTCGCCCCCCTCGTTAGAGATTCCTTTCGGTCCAGCTATCCTCATTTCTTTGGAGTTGCACCAGTCGGTTATTTGAACCTTGATGCTTGCAACCTACCAATGTCTCCAGCTCCAAAGCTGCAAGAACTCCATTTTTCCCAGGATCTCCTCTCAGTGCTAAGGGCACAGCAACTCAAAAAATCTCAAAAGTATTCATGATTCAGATGAATGGACATATGCGGGACCTCTGCATTGGTCAGCCCCAACAAGTTCCACGTTCTTTTTATTTTCTCTCAATAATACATGCATGCTGGGATGCGAGTACAGGACGCGCAAGATGCAGCAGCAAGACGAATCGCCGAACCTGCAAACCAAATCAATAGAGTAATCAACACACTTGCACGACCTGTAGGCTCCTCACAACACATGTCACATACCTGACTGCTGGACAATTTGCCAATGCCTCACGCCTCAGATACATCCTATCCGTCCCAACTTGCAACTTGCCAAATCCTTACCATTCCAATTGTTCAGCACAGCCGTCAAACATTCTTGTGCTCGAGCCTTCCCTCCAAGACTCAGTTTTGCTCGCGAGGCGAATGGCTTCGAAGACGTCTGACGCCGAGGCCCGGGTCGAGCGGCTCTGGGTGGGATCTCTTCGAACATGAGCTCCAGACGGGAGGTTCTCCGAACGAAAACGAGACGAGCAAGCACCGGAGTTGACTGCATAGGATTCGGCTTTGCCAAGCCAGTTGTTGTGACCGGTGGAATCAACAGGCGGAGACCCCACTGGTCGACGCCTTGATGATCTTTCGCCAAGGGGTCTTGCCACAGTGGGAGGCTGGATGGCGCGTGTAACTGCTGTTGTTCTTCCTGTTTGTTGTCAGATCTGTGGCCTTGCCAAATACAATCTTTTGGGTAGTTTCTGTTTCGCTGCCACGAGCCCGCCAAAACGGGAGGATGCTGCAAACTCTGGTGGTGGGCACTTTCAGTTTCACTTCAAGGCCAGGGGGATGGCGATTCTATCAATGGCGTGGATAGCATCGGTGAGGCAGCAGAGGAGATTGGATTGACGAATTCCTGCTACTGTGGCAGTTCTGGGGGTTCATTGGTAGAAGACTTGAAGCCTGATTTGGGTTGCATGCAGACCTCCATGGGTGGTGCGCAGATTGCCATAGCCTCAGTCCTGCATTTTGTTGACTGGGCCCCACAATGATTTTTTTGTGTGGGCGGCACTGCACTCCAGTGGTCACAGTCGTTTTGAACGCTCAATCCTTTGACCCCGTCACTAAGTCTATCGAATCGAAGGAACTGGTTGTGGATATAGGGCCGGTTACCATGCCAGACATGAGTTTGAGGATGAGTACTGGAACAACGTCGTGCTGGGCACTCTGGGGAACACTTTGGAGCCTGCGGACATGATCACTGGTTTGCGGCTGGTGGACCGGCCCGTGGGCGGGACACGGAGCGTTGTAGGGTTTCAGAGTGGTTTGGAGCAGTGAGGTGGGAGCTTGGGATCCAATTTCACTCGTCCCAAACCTTTGCAGAGTGTTTAGGGGGGCTACAAGCATCCATAAGGGTCCTCACTTTTTGGGAGAGGACTGGTGGCTCATTGCGGCCCGGGGCAGAGCTTCCATAATGCCGGCACTTGTAAGCATTCGGTAGCAGGTGATTTAACCCGTTCCAAACGGAGGATTTCACGATCTTGGCCATTTTGGTGTTTTCGTTTCCAGTCTTTGGACAATCGGGCGGTTCGCAACCAGGTCAGCCTGCACCTCGCCAGGACAAGGTCACCGGCCTGAAAGCCGGAGTGCCCAGCACCATCCGCATCGAGGTGGGGAGGAGCGATGCTCCAAGAAGAACCGGCTCCATGGGTCCATTGCTCTCAACAGGCTCTAGGATTGTTTGGACATGTTTTGGCCCACTCGACTCTCGACCCACTTCCTTCAGATGACGTGCAAAAAAACCGGATGCGCATGAAGCGACATCATTGCTTCATCCAGTCGGAAGACCATCCATAATATGGGGCCGACCTTCGACGCGTCGGCCACCATCGGTGGAGGTCTGGTTTGGCAGCGCCCAGGATCAGCAGGTGGGAACAGCACTGGGATAGAAAGGGAGCATGGGACACCTTTTCCCTGCAATCCCCCGAGAAAACACACGGAAGGCCATTGTCATCAAACCAATACATGTGGTCCTGTAATTATCTGACTGTATGCAGATTTATCCCCTGTCCTTGCCTGACAGATCTATATAAAAGAGGTCCATTCCTTCAAGGGTGGGGTGTCTTGCTTTCGACATGGAATTGTAGATTTCACCCCCACCCTCAGGTGGGGTTGAATGTATTGCCGTCCGGCTTGCACAGAAAACATCTCGGCATTCTCGTTGCTGTTGTGCTCAGGCGGTGGCTGCACTTCAACGCAACGTGGAGTGCTGTTTGGCCACCCGAACACTGGAGGGACGCCTGGGCAATGTGCCCAAGGCGGGTCGTTTGCCAACCGCTTCCACTGGGCGACTGCAGGTCGGCGTCTTGTGAGTGACCCTCTGCTTCATTCACCCCGCAAAGCTCAGTGCCCCCAAACCGGCATTTCCACGTGCAGTGCAGCATTGCCTGGGCAGAAACAGTCTTCAAGACTACCACCTGCTTTATGTTGTGGTGATGTCGCACGGATGGTTGTCGCAGGCGGAGCTCAAGGTTCACAAGCTCACGCGGCATCAACGAGAGAAAAGGCCGTGCCAAAGCTCCACCCAAAGCAGATTGATGCGGACCAAATAGCATGCCGTGCCATACTGTGTGTATTAATTAGGGAAGTGTAGTGGTGCAGCGAGGCAGATTTGAGACATTTAGTTCATGCATCACATTTGGCCAACAGCCAAGGGGTGCATTTTGAGATGTGCATTTGTTTGCAGCATTTGCAAAGCTTATGTTGTTCTTTTGGACAGGCTGATTGAAGTGAATCAGATGTTTCACATGTCCAGCTTTTCAGCAAAATAAGGAAGACACAAAGATGAAGACTTCTACCAGATATGTTCGACATGGTTCGACGAGATCGTTTGGTCGAGGAAGCCCTCGCACAAACCAAATCATCAAAGGCGACCAACGTGCCCGCCGCTATGTATTGACAGAGCGGATGGCAGCGTGCCAGGCAGAGAGCAATTGGTGTGTTGGAAGAAGCAGGGCATTGTTTTTCGTTCGGCACATCTTAAAAGAGGAAGGTCCAAATGCGGTGGTTGGACTCATTGTCATGTGAATGCTCAAAATGGAAGCCTTCGCGTTCCTATCTCAACGAGAAAACCTATTGAGATCACTTCATGCATGATATCCGCCACCTGGGAGACCCTACACCTGCAGGCACTAGTGGACTTTGCCGAAACGGTGTCCCAGATTGGCTGGTGCAGGAGTTCATCCACCAACCCTGGAAGTCCAATACCAATTTTAAACTGGTTGATCTGGTATTGAAGTGTCCCTTTAGTTCAACAATGGTTGTTCAGTAACGGCTGTGCGTCTATAATCGTCTATATACTAAATGGTTGCTCGACTTCTAGGGTCAATACAGTCAATACACGGTTTGGCCATCGGCTGTTGTTGAACCATGTAGCTTACCGGCCTGGTGATTCTGAAGAGTGAACTTCTCGAGCTTCGGAATCCTTGTTGCACTCACTTGCGCAGGCAGCAAGACGGTTCTGGGAACTCCCTTTCCGGGGTCCACGGTAGAGGGCTGCTTTTGTTTTCAGCTGGCCGGACCGCAGCGATACGGGCTCAGTGGGTGTGCAATTCGCGCTTTCCCCTGCTTCTGAAAGCGTGTGGAGGTGCCTGTGGAGATTTGAGGAGGTTATATAATTATATATATATACACATAGTTTTCCAGACTGGATGAAGAACCGGGTGAAGGTGGATCCTCATGAGGAGTGCCAAAGTACTGCAAGTTCCTTTTCAATCCTTTTCAGCATGTGAGAGCTTTCATGGTTCTCAAGCTGGAGTTTTTGTTGCAAAGAAGGTTGAGCATGTGAGTTGAGAGTTGATTTCTTGTGACTGGTGTGGTGAAGCTGCATGATTCTTTTGAATTGTGGCGGGTTTTTCTGCATTTCCTTTCCAGCCGCCCGTCTATCCAAGATTTTGCCATGAAGTTTTTTCTTCAGATCTTACCAGGTTTCATGGACCCATTGCTATCCCTGACAAGCCAAAATGAAGTTTTGAATTTCTAGGTTCACATGGCGAAGGTTTGAAAGCGACTGGTGCCAAAGCACGCTCGCTTTTTTGGTTGTCCTTCGCACAAAGTTTCAGGTGGACGTGAGCACTGAAGACAATGCTTCGCTGGGCTGCTTGTCTGATCATTTCGTTCAATTCACAGCGAGCCGCATCTCTAGAACCGCGGTGACTGTGGGCCTAAAGGTCCCAGAGAGGCGCAGAAGTTTGATTTCTACGACTGTCCATGTAGAACATGCGACTTGCTTGAGGCAGGCTGCTTTGCTTCCCAAGGTTCTGACGCTTGGCGTGGTCTTGGAGGTGAGCGGGAACTCGATGTACATCGCCAAGCTGTGCAAGGGGCGGACCTGCAACGACCTCAAGTTCCCCATTTTGGACTACGACGCTGCCACCAAGACCTGCGTTTGCACCGCGCACCCCTGCTGGAACGATAATGGGCTCCAGCACAAATGCCCCGGGGAGAAGCATGATGATGCTTGGAGGGAACTTCCTTGTGCAGCTCATCACTTGGCTTTAGGGATTTTCATCATGCCAGAGAACCAGAGAGAGAGAGAGAGAGAGAAAGAGAGAGAGAGAGAGAGAGAGAGAGAGAGAAAGAGAGAAAGAGAGAAAGAGAGAAAGAGAGAAAGAGAGAAAGAGAGAAAGAGAGAAAGAGAGGGAGAGAACAAAGAAAGAACACCAATAGAAGAAGAGAAAGCAAAGGCCACGCGTGTTGGTTGGAACTTGGAACGTTGATCCGCACTTTCAACGGCGGATCGGCCCGAAACGTTTCAGGACAAGTTTCTGACATTCTTCTACGAAAAGTCGGGCAAGCTCAACTGTGGCTGCAGCAAGGAGCGGAGATGCTGCGGAGATCGAAGATCGGAGATCGCGGACATTTGTGCCGCCCGTAGGCGTATGTGAACCGGTCCCTAATCTTACGATTCTTTTGGAGTGCATGTCAATTGGCTCGTATTACTCAGCACCGGTTTCACGAGAAACTTCTCAGGAAGACGCTGCTAAGATGTGGCGTTCAGCTTTAACTCGTTCTAAAAAGGCTGTCCAGGAGCTTGAACGCATCGAACCTCGCAGGACGTGTGGACGCTGGCTCTGGTTGTGAGTCCACACCCATAGTTTGTATAACCTTCTACTTACTTAGGCACTTTTCGAAGCCTAAAGTCTCTTGAGCAGAATGGCCGATGGCAAGCGGCGAGATGTAAATCAGTGAATGATCCCTCCCGTTTGCCAGTCTCTTGCCCCTTTGTAAAGCGTGATGGTTGCTGGCTTTCGTTGCTCTATTTATAGGATGACAGGATGTTAGAGGATGTTAGAGGAATGATCTGCATAATCAAGCTAGATGGAAGCTATGTCAGCTGGAAGGAGCCAGACTACAAGTCCCTGTACCTGAGCAAGGAGCTTTGCCCAGGCAGGGCAGTTCTTAGGATACTTGAGCCGAACCGAAGTGGTGCACTTTTTCCTACTCAAATAGCTGCGCTGCCCTCAGGTGAGCACTGCACCCCTGAACATCCCATCCTCGACTATGACCAGGATTTGCCGGGGAATGCCATGGTGCCTTTTTGATCGGAGACCATGTCTCACGCAAGGCTTTAGCCCCAAGGTGACCCAAGGTGCCCCTTTTCCAGTTCCTGGTGGCCAGACGGCTCACGGTGCAACTTGTAGCACTACGAAAACTTTCCAGACATCTACTGTCGGGGACGGGAATGTGAAGTCTCTTCATGTTGAGACTGAGTGACCATCTGATGCACTGGAGCCGCAGTATATAATGTTTGTCCACCTATCATAAGAGTCCGGGGGATGCTGACAGACGAAACAAACCCGAAACGGACCAAAAAGTATGAATGGTGCGACGGCACAGGTGATTTATGGTGATTTGTTCGGCATCTTTCAGGAAGCTTTATAGTAATCTATATCTATATTATATATATATATATATGTATATAGTAGGTTCTGTCTTCCTTTTGTGTGGAATCTGTGTGGCACAGCCACGTCGAAACGGAGACGGGCCATTGGGGAGGCGTTCCCAGACAGGACACAAAGACCTGCATTTGCCGGACGCATCCTTGCGGAGACATCGATGGGCTCACGCACACGTGTCCCACTGAGAAGTTTCCGATCTTGCGGTACCGTGTGGATGAGGATGAGCAGACGAAGGACGAACGTGCAGAGTGAAGACTGGATTGAAGGCTTCCTTCCGAAAAAATATTTGAGATCACTAGGTTGTGTGCTTGTTCTGGTCCTCATGTGCTCCAGAGGTTTAAGTGATTCCCATCCGTCTCGAAGTGGGGAGCCGATCAGGAGTCAAAGAACGTTTGCGAGTGCATCGCCCCGATGCATGCGCCCAAAGATGAGCTGTGAGCTGGCCCAAGGGGATCCTCGGCGGGAAGAATGCGTTGGGGCAAAGTGGGCTTGAGACCAGGATTTGAAGAGTTAGAGTACTGAAGTAAGGTACTGGGCACGGGAAAGGCCTGGGAAAGGATAGGTCGGTTTGAAATGCTATGCCCTGTGTTGTGTCTTTGAGCAGCTGGTCGGGGCTTATCGATGACAGAGACCAGGTGATTCATCCTTCAATTGTTTCAATCTCCATGCCAGCGGCTGGCCTAGCGGAGGGCCAATAGAACATGTTTCATCTGCATACTTGAGGATGACTTGCAAGTCATTGGTTTGACGGTTTGACCCTTCCAACAGTGCCTGTCACTCCAGGCGCTAAAGATTTCTAAACTGGTCCCAGTCGTTTTTCATCACCGGCCACTTTCGCGCTCTTTCGGCCAGCTGCCACCTATGTTTGCCGCCGAGGTCGTAACTCCACCGTTCCTGGAACGGCTGTTGCTTCCCTGACTGGTCGACTGGACGGTCTCGAATTAGCTGGAAAGGAACAACAGTTCTGCATGCTATTGCTCTTGACCAAGAGCAGCAGAGTAATGACCAGGTATGTAGAAGTTACCCGTGTTGGATCGCCGCACGAAAAAAGACGGGCGTCGTGCGTGAGGGACTGGGCGTCGTGCGTCAAAGGCAGCGAGGGCTTTGGTGTCCGAAGGTTGGAGCATGTTGGAGCCCAAGAGCAACACGTTACAGGAGACTATTCCCTTTTTTGGTCCATTGATTGATCCGATGATCCATGTCTGAATCTATCCATGATGATCTATCCATCAATCCATCCATGGATCGATTTGTCTTCCTTCTTTCTGTTTATCTACTGTGTTTGAATATCGCATCCTGTCTTGCTCCAATCTAATCCAATCTGAATCTGATCCATTCATCACTCCATAAACTCATAGAACGGCAACTTTCCAGAGTCTCACGTTGAACCAATGACCTGCGCAGGCTGTGCTCCAGCCGCTGGTGAGTGTTGTTGTTTGCCAATGTGTGTGCTGGCTGTGCTCCAGGGAAAACGGGCGGAAAGTGCTTTGCAGTTAGCAACTTTTTCAGAAGTGCAATTGTTTTCCTTTTTTGTCAGTCCGATTGGTGAGCAACGGGGCTTCAGTGGCTGCAGTGGTGAGAATATACCGCACAGTTTGCGGAGAGCACATGTTGATTCAAAAACGGGCAGTGGCAGGCGGCCAAACCCCATCCCATGTTGGTGTGGGCCATTTGGGACAAAAAGGGCTAACGAAAAGGGCCATTCCCTCCGGTCAATCTTCGGGTGGAGATGCAGCTGTCAAACTTGGGCAATCCCATCCCAGGAGCCCCCCCCCCAACTCTAGACAAGTTGCGGCACTTCAAGGGAAAGAATCCAAGTTCTTCCGCCCCCGACCATGTTGGTGGCATTCCGTAAACCGGTTAGGTCGCCCTGGCCGCCCTGGTGTGAGAGAGTATATAACAGCGCGCCGTTGTTGGATGTTTTGCCTGGCCCATGATGTTCGGCTCAAGGGCACCGGGTTGCTATGGTGTTCTTATGGAATTCGTAAGGTGAACCGAGGTGTTTATCCTGCATGATCGATCCAGGCGAGGTTGGTGGATACGCTGAAGGGACCAGGGGCTGATGTATAGGCGTTCCCATCAACTGTTCTCGGGGCGGAGTGGCGTGGCTACTCCTTTGCGCTCTTGTTTTTCCTGGGTTGCTAATTGCGAGGCCCATGGGTGTGCATGGACCACCAACTGCTCGTGGGTGGCTTGGGACCCTTATGAACCCTTTGGGAAACAGCTGTTGCCGATGTTTCCCACCCAGAGTGACTCAGGCTGGGCCTTTAGACATGCCCAAAGTCGCGAAAGCATGAGACCCTCGATTCGCGAGGACATGGGGCAAAGTGTGGGGCGCGTTCTCTGTGGCCCCGTGGGGGGCCTCAGCCGCCCGCGATGCACCGAAGATCCAGGGAGAACGCACCAGGAGTAGTGTGTTTGTTTGGTTTCTTCGTGATGGCGTGATGTGTGCAACGATCTCGAGGTTTCTTGGGGTTATGATCAGATGAGCACATGTAATGGTGCTTCCTCGAGCAGCTTTTTGACCACAACCTCTAATGACTCTAATGGAGAAGAACCGCCAGTGACAATGTGGCCATATAATGCCATATATATAGATATATGTAAAATTCTCTATTGGAGAGAGGTCCTGGAAATGTCAGGGTGGCTCATAACCGAGTTCAATTAGCTTCATCCGTCCCGCATATGTCTGTGTCTCGGGAGGAGTGTGCCCGAAAGGCAGGCCAAACGGGATTTTGCACCTGAAATGCCAGTCGAGCCACCAGCGTTTCGCGAACGCACGATCGCACGGATCGCACGCGGCGCGGTCCAACGGCCCAGTCTTGCTTCACGGTCCACACTGGTGCCGCTTGGCTTGGCTAAGAGCGCCGGACCACGTCGTAGGGTTTCCACCACCCTCAGTGGGGGCACATGCGTCTCGCGTGCGCCGATGCGACCGCGCACACACTCCAACGAACAGGTACATATCTCTATATATATATATGGATGCATAATTGAAGGCACACACACACACAGATCTCTCTCTCTCTCTCTCCCTATTTCTTTACATAGTTACACACACACATACCGTATATCTATCTATCTATCTATCTATATTTATATAAATCTGTGTGTATACCTGCATATTCAATATTTTGAAAGAGATTTTATAGCTTGTAGCTTAAGTTGTTCACAAAGCAGCTGAAGATTGGCCAATGGGTTACGATGGTCTACTGACAAAGGTTCATATGCAATTGATATGTCAGTGGTGAGAAGTGTAGCGTAAATGTGCAACCTGTTGAATCCTCCCCTTTTCGGATTAGCAAGTGCCCGGACTGTAAGCACCCAGAGCATGAATGCCGAGCATGATTTACTGTAAGAGACTTTCCGCTTCTGGTCGCCAAAACCAGGGTTCCGGAAGCAGGTTGAGGAGATCCATTCCTTTTTCCCACTTTGTTCTGCAGAGCCCGGGAGCCCTTTTGGGAATGGGTTGTTCTTCAAGAGGTGGAGGCACAAGTTTTAGCTTGCCCTTTATTTTGTCACGTCCTGCTTCCGTTTCGTGCCCCAGGATGTGGTAGAGAAAGTGGATTCCAAGCGCGTGGCAGTCGAGCATGCCGAGCGTGGCGAAAGCGCGCGGATGCTCCTTCGGCCGGAAGCACAGGCAGCACTCGGGACCTACCGCAGAGTGAGTGAGTGCAAGGGCACCTGGAACAGATGAGCACATGTCGAAGACTTTGGATGATGACCAGCTAGTAGATAGAAACGCCTTCCAATACTTTGGACTTGGTTAATTTTTTGGATCATTTTTGTTTTGGTGTGTGTTGTGCCGTCTACATGTAGAGAGAGAGAGAGCTACACATACGACCCGCCGCCTCTCGAAGCCAAGAGCCCAATGGCAGAGACGTGGTCGGAGTCGCTTCGGCCGCTTGCGGCCATGCTTGGAACATGTGGTTTGGGTGTTTAGTAGAACTCCCTGAACTAGTCATTCAAGTTGTCAAGCGGAAACCACCTGTTCGTAGTAAAGGAAACTGGTGCTTCAAGGGCCCATTTGCATCTACAGATTCTGAGTATTTCAGAGGGTGTGGACCGATTAGATCTCGACTGTATGGAACTTGGTCAGTTTTGCATGGAAGCTGCTTCCGGTGATCCTTTTTTGAGATGTTGAAAAGCTCTGGTCTTATCAACAGTGGCCGAGTTCCATACTCCAGGTTCCATAGCGCTCGTTCGCGAGATTGGTGCTCAAGCTGTGTCACTGGACCATCTTGTGTTGCGCGTTGTGTGGGTGGAGACGCCATGGCCGCCGTGGAGAACGTTGAGGAAGAGGAGGTGAATGAGGTTGAGCAGGCGCACATCAAGGCGCACAAGAGGAGCACCTGGGTGGACCGGGAAGAGGCACAAAAGAAGAAGCAAGATCCAAAGCTGGCTGACAAAATCCAAAGGCATTAAATCCAACAGCAAATGTCATAGGCTGTGTTGGATTGGTTAGGTTCGGTGGGATTTCGTCTTGCGCGCAGTAGATGAAGACGATGCAATCTCCTTGTTCCCTTCTTTTGGGACCCTCCATGTGAAGATGTCCCTTCGATGGCAGAAGCCTGGTCACCAGCCCCACACTAGAACCGGTTCGGCCAGGCTGACAGCAACCTGCCGACCTGCTACTTCCTGGCCACTAGCGCGAAGTGCACCAAGGGCTATGAAGGCGACTCTCAGTGGGTCATCGAGCTGGAGAAGGGCTGGAGCCCATGGATGCCAGGCAATGAGCCCTACTACGGCGCCACGGACGCACCGTTGCGCTACACCTTGGGGCGCTATGACTTCGAGGTCGGTCGCCAAGAAGATTCTTGATATTCAAACCTTGTAGGGGTGAGGTTGAGGAATCAGATGTGCCTGTCCAATGGGATGCTTGACCTCTTCCACCCTCATGTGTCAGCTGAAGCAGCCTGCTCCCAGGTTCACTTTGAAAGCGAGACCGTGGGCTCCCAGACCAACCTCACTACCGGCAAGGTCCGCCGCCTCCAAAAGCTTCAGAAGGGCGAGCCCATGCCCGCCTGGGAGGCGAGAACAGCGAGAGCCAGGGGGCGGATTTCTCCATCCTTGTCATTTTGTGCAATCGCGAGTGAACACCCGTCTCGGTCCCTTAGATGGTCTAGCCAGGTCCACTTGAGTGACACTTGGGTAACTACGCAGCGACGTTAGCTGTCGCGTGGATCCCTTATGGATCCCTTGGTAGTGTTCCCTATGCCTGTGCCCATCCCTTTGGTCAAAGCTTGGCCGCAGGGCACGGGCATCCGCCGCCGCCCCGCCGCGGCGGCCGCTGGTGCGCCTGCTGGGGGCCTAGGCGCAGCGCCGGCCACGTCGGCGGCCAAGCAGGCGCAACAGAACCGGGAGCAACGGCGGAGCGGGTATGATGCCAACAAGGCGCCTGTGGGAGGAGAAGAGGCCAAAGAACATGCAGACTGTTTGGCCATCTGGACAAAGTTTTGACAATCGGAAGCGATGACGATATCTCCGCTTGTAGCTAGCCAGGCTAAGAATACTGCGTAGAGTTCCGCTTGCTGAGAGGTCTGGTCAAGACCTGGAAGAAGGGTAGAAAAGCTGAGCTGGGCAAGCACGTAGACTGCGCTCGCTGCAGCCCGAACCTGCTTCCACCTGTGGAAGATGGAGCTGTGAAAGTGTGAATCCTGCCAGCTGATCAGAACCGCCGACAGCGCCGTCCGAAGTAAAAGCCAGAAGCACGAACGGATCCAGATCGTGTGATCAGTGCGCTGAAGACCGCGTCGCCGCAACAAAGGTACAGAAAGATAACGGAAAAGCAGAGGAGAGCCAACTCCAGGACAAAAAAGCACGATCAAACTGGTCAAACATGAAAAGAGTCTTCCCAAAAAAGACGGAGTGCTTTCCCTGCAGCCGAAAGCCCCTTAAGCATGATATCCCTTTGTTACGCAATTGTGACTTTTAAATATTAATAAGTCAATTAGAAAACATAAAGATCTATCAACTCAACTAAAAAAATCATAACAAACTCGAAAATCAATGAATCACGTGGTGTCATTTATATACTGTAAGATACTGGATACCGTACAGTACGTATATCTCTTTCGCATTACAATTGCTAGTTCCAAGAATATATATACTTCACTTATTCGGCATGACAAAAATAGTAACTAAAGAACTCCAACTCGCCCTTGGTCGAACACAATGAGGAAGCTCTAAAGAAAGCACTTTTTCAGACACGTCCAGTTGTGGTGATGTTTTTGCACGTGTTTAATCCCTGGAACGAGGCGATGCAGCCCCACTCTTTGCGGCCGCAGGTGTCCCAATCCGCCTACAAGGCTTCTCCCGCACCATCGGCGCCCAAGCCGAAACCAGCAGCTGCCGGAGGAGCTCAAGGCATTCCTTCTGGACAAGCCCCTGGGCATGTTCCACGCTACATGCGACCGCTGAAGTCCAAGGCATGAGCTTTTTGGTCCGTACCGAAATCGGTACCGAACTCGGTGCAGAAGGCCCTGTGAGCCGGGCCGGCGGTGGTGGCACTTTGCAGGATATCGTCGACCGCCTACAGATCTTCAAAACGTTTCATTAACCCAGACCCATCCTACGGGAAGTCGGGGGAGGCTAACTAGTTGATCAAACCAAGTCACGTCAGCCTTGGCGACCCTGGGTGTGTTATGTGTGTGTCCAAGTGGAAGTGGGGTTGGTCGCAAAACGGGGAGGAACCATTGAAAAGGAGTGGCTGGGGCTGGAAACACTGTATTTTATGGAGGCTTTGGAGGTTTGTTTGCTTCCCATTCCCATCATGTTTTCACGGACAGAATTCTTGTTGGTTTACCTTACATACATCCATTGACATTTGTTGGTGGCATGCATAGTGAATGGATGATACTTCGTTTTCCAGACCATGCCCCCTCAATTCCCTCTCCCCCCACAGCATTGCGCAGCATTCTCTACCCAAAATAACAACCAGGGGTCACATGTCGGGGTGGTTTTCAGTCCCTGGGCACCCCTGGCCTTCATGGATCGCACCCCGTCGAATGGATTTCTCACTCCCACGCTGCCCACATCGCTGAGCGAACGCACCGAGCAGACGGGGCAGAGGCACGAGACCTCGAACATTTGGCCACCTCATCGGTTTGTGGGTCAATGGGTGTGAACAAACCACTGGGAATCAAATGCATTTCTTGGAAGAAGCGGGCTGGAATGAGGTGCAATTTGGAAAGCATTGGTGGGTAGCACCGCAAAGCTCCAGGGAAAGCTTCAGGCAAAACTTGTTTGACTTAGAGACACACATTCGTGGGCTGTGGAAACACACCAGAATTTGCACCACACACACATGCATTTTTTGTATATATGCACACACATCGAACCAATGCCTGTCGCCAAGGTCTTTACCCTCATCAGCAAAGCAGACGAAAGTAAGCATCAATAGCAAGCTCCACCGAGATTATGTACTTGGGGTTGATCAACTTGAGAAGTTATGCTGTTTGTATGTGCTGCCTCACTGATTGTCTGGTGTATTGTTCATGGACCATTCATGGAACTGGTGAGGTTGGGGGTTCCGTGCAACCTTGGCACGGCACTCCCACCACAGCTGGATCGTTCGCGAGTTCCCCGTTGTGCAGTGCGGTGCTTCGAAAGGAAGCGCTTTTGTGCGCCTTTATGGCCAAAAAGGAAAGGAAACAGAGGGAGACTGCAAATGAATTCACCTCAATTCACTTGATTGCAGGCCTTCCCCCGCCCCCGTTCGCCGCCATGGCCGCGTAGGCACCCGCTTCGAGCTCACGCCAGTCCCGGGTGCACTATGCCGCTGGGCGACGAGCATTGTGACGAAAGAAAGCACCAAAACACACACACACACACACACACACGGTCACACACACACACACACATCACGAAAGCTACTTGTAGCACCAGCTAGCTGGAGTTGTCCTTGCTTTAGCAAGTGAGGGGCTGGAATCCTCGAGATCGCCGCATCACGTGAAAACTTCATATGTAGAGGGCCCCCCCCCCGCGGGTTCAACTCCCCCCTGGGACGCCTCTGGGACACCTCTTGGACACCTCTTATGGCAGCCACTTTGGTTCAACTCCTCCGTGGAGGTTTTGGGATACGATGCAACAGATTCCACAGATTCACAAGCTAACGTTGGCTGTGTCATTGCTGTTCGTGTGTCTTACATGTTCACAACGTTTTACCTGATGAGCGAGACCTTGTGAACCATCCCTCCAACAGCCCCATGCCTATGAAAGATTTGCCTCACTCCGCTTGATGTCCCACCAGTCCTTTGTCACTGGACGGCGCTGTACGCTTCGCCTCCACTGACACGGATGCATCCCTGCTAGCTTTCATCACCTACCCTCGGCCTCAAGTATTTCTTTGCGGGGGCTCATCCTAATGGTACCAGCACGATCTGAGGCCCAAGTGGACTCCTCCCCGAACAGCCGCTCTACTGCCACAGGCCCGGTGGCCCGAGTTGGAGGGCATGGCATATCGCAGGTTCTTGAGTTGTGAATAAGGTATGCTAGCGGAGTCTAGGGCAATATGTTGGATGCAGTCGTTGTTGCGTACCACCCTGGTCTTGACCTGATCCATCAAAACTGCATCGGTCGCAGTGGAAGGATGCTTACCCAACGGTAAAGATATGCCTGGATACTGTACTGTAAATCTTTTGGTGTGAGTTGCGCCCATGGCAGGCGAAGGATGTAGCAGATGGAGCTGCTTGGCAGCAACGAAGTTGCACGCCCGAACTCAACTGGTGGAACATCACCTTGCCTCAACTTCTGCTGGGAGAGCCTTCCTTTCGAGGGCTGTCATTGCTGTGATTATATGTGATGTTACAGTCTGTTTGTGTATTTGGACTTTAGCCTTTTTTGAGCTCACCCCCACACGTTTCTGACCTGCAACGGAATTTTTCTTCACCGAATCTGTTGTTCAGCTTCCTCTCAACATCACTGTTTTGATGGCTTCTTCAGTTGAACTTCTTCAACCGCATTGACTGCACTTGCTGTAAGCCGAAAAGACAGCAAAGCTCTTGGACGAAAGTTCTCCAGACCAGTTCCTCATCGGTTTAACGTCCCAGTGGGCTGAGCAAGAGCTAAGCGCCGGATGTGAGGCCCAGTGGTTTTTTTGTGCTTCTGCATGACCCTCACCATGGTCCTGGTGCTCTCCATCAACCAGGCTCCAGGGCTGAAGCGGAACGGGTAGAGTATGGTCGAGTGAGAGCGAAGGTGCAGGCTGTTGGGGTCAAGAGATTCAAAGCCACTTGTGGGTTGGCTTGGTCTTGCAGCTTTCGAACTTGCATTATCGCCCGTGGAGCTTGGTAACCTGCTTGGCCTAGCTGCCTAGCTAGCCAGCAGCTATATTTGGAGATACGAGCAAAACGAGAACCCGCAATCCCTAGCTGCTGCCACCAAAAAGGGGCAAGTCGTTTGTTAGTTATATACATGAATGTGCATGCAGAAACACACAGCCAGACCGGGCCACACCCGATTGTGGACTCCCTGGTGGACCATACTCTTCATTCTTGGGATCTTCACCTCAGCTTTTCGCTCCCCCCGCATCCCCACACCCGAAACTCCCACTCAAGGCTTTTTGACCTTGTCAGGTTCTGGCGGGTCCGACCGACCTGTCCGACCGACCTGTCCGCCCGACCGAGAAACCGGGCGCTGCTTGACCTCCGCCCTCGGGTGAGGCGATGCATCGATCGCAGCTCACGCCCCAGAACTTCGATTGCGAGGCCGTGTGAGGGGAGGGAACCGGAGGGAGGGCAGTTTCTTCGCCTCGAAGGGGCGTGGGGTGACATAGAAACGTCTCGGCTTTTCAAGCGATGAGGTGGAGGGTGTCAGTGGGATTGCTCAATCAGATTCTCAGGACAAGGACAGACAGCATTAAATCCCCTGATGCCATACAACCTCAAAACGGACTTTCTCAGTCGAGGAACAACGGATGTGTTGCACCCTCCATCCCCACTGGTGGGTGCGCGGAACTGGTCGTCGCCTCAGGCGGGGCTGGCAGTCTGGGAGGTCGACTGGTCCGGCGAGAAGATGGACTTTTGTTGCCCCTTGGTTCGCGACCTGGGCGAGGGCCCTGCGTCCTGTGTGCCATGACCAGGTAGTCGCTTCAGAGACATCTCAGTGGTGAATGGGGTGCAGCGAGGATCCACTAGGCCCTAGGCAGGCCTTTGGGATAGAGGATGAAGCCCTTGAAAGAGAAGCTTGCAAAAGGTTGTGGAAGATGATTGTGACGAGCGCGGTGGAAAGGCGTGCATGCAACCCCTTGATTTACGCCACTGGCGGTTAACCTCAGTGAATTGGTACCTGATATTCCAATGTATTTGTGGCCACCCATGCTGCAGGGGCATCTTTTTTCGTGTGTTCTGCCTTGTTTGTCGTTGATCTTCTGCTTCAGTACGTGTGAGTTCTGCGCATCCTCAACGCCCCACAAATCGGTGTGATCGATCCGTGAACAGGGAGAGAAGCAATTTTTATTCCCATGGCAGGATGGGAAGAAGAACTGAACGACCAGGTCCGTCTATAAGTGCTACAGTGCTGCTACAAATTTCCAGGGGCTTGCGCTCGTCAACACCAACAACACTTCTCAGCTAGCTTAGCTTCTTTTGTCCCAATCGAGCTGAGGCGTGAGGTATGGTGTGGGGTGCATGAACTTCAACTGTGAGGGACAGGACTCGGAGTGGACCGATCTCCAGTCCAGGCCGGGAGCCCCGCGCAGCGAAGCCGGTGACTCCTGTTTCTCGCTCAAAGGGATGCGGTGAAACACCGTAAAGGGGCCGGTTCCACATCTCTCACCGCGTTCGTTTTGGGTCTGGACGGTGCCCCCAGAGACGACCAGCTCATCCCATACCCTTTCCTCGGGCGACCACGGCCACGCGGCGCGGCAGGTGGTGCTGTGAGGTGCGAGGTTTAGGTGGCTCTTGCGAGCTCAGCTTGCCCTACGTGCCTGGGCTTGGAAAAAATCGCTGGTTCCTCGAGGCGATCGAAGGCGGGCTGAGTTGGATGAAGGATGAGATTTTCAGGGTGTTTCGGAAACTCAGACAGGGCCACAAGCCGACTTGGTCGACCAGTGGCTGCCTGGATGGAAAGGTGAGCACTCCTCAGCAACGAGGGATGCCAGGGTGCATGCAGATTTCGATTGGCCCAAGAACCCTCTCCCCCAACCAGGCTCAATCATCATCCTTAACAGTGGATTCTACATTTGTGTTGGTCTCTAGCTGCCGTCACTGACGCGCAGAACGGTCCGACGCGCCGCCCGACGCCTCCAAGGACTGTACCAATGGTCTGGATGAGTGGCACACGTGGCAGCCTCTCAAGCAAGAGTGGCGGGGAGCCCTGGCCGCCGACGGTGCATGGGCCTACTGCTGCAGTGCAGACATCGGGGGCCTAGGGGGAAATTCAGGAAGGAGAGCGTAGAGAGGTCCAGCAAAAAGGGCGGTGAATCTGGTGCGATCATCCCGTTAGAGGGTAAGCTGCCAGGGCTTGCAGCAATTCTCGCGGAAGCTTTGTGGGGTGTCTGATGGCAAGGCAGCACCACAGCCCAATAACCCCACA